CCCCCAATCTATTGCTGCCTCCTGAGTCCCAGTTGATGGCTAGAGGGAAAAAAATTGTTTAAACTCTTGCGGAGGGGCTTCAAAGGGCTGCCCTACAGCTGATCCGTGTTAAAAGAAAACAAATGAGTAGACCGGTGCCTGCAAAAATAAATGGGTAGACCCAGTGTTGGGATTCTACTTCCGTAGAACCGGTTGTTAAGTAGTTAACATGGGGCTCCCCTTGAGGAGTGTCACATTAAAACCACATTTTTTTTCATTGGATTGCAGCCATGACATTCTGAGAAATTTTGTTTTTGCAGAACTTAAACTAGGGAATTTTGGTGTCCTCTTTGACACTATGTGAATCAGAGCTTACACATTGGTCAATGCTCATACTTATTCACTCTTTAAAAAAAATATTGTTAATAATTGTAACTTACGTGTTTTACTTTTGTCATCAAAAAGGCTTAAGACATGTCAGGATGCAGTCAAAGCTTAATATGGACATAAATAATAAAAAGATCCAGCTGTTTTAAAAAAACCTTTTAAACACTTAAAAAGAAAACTAAAGAGCTGAAATCTATGGGGACACACCCACCCCTTGTCCCAGGTAATAGCAGAATTCATTTCAGGGGACTGCCATGAGCATATCATAGAGGCCCATCCCACCCCAGTCAAGTACTAAAAAAACAGAAGTGAAAGAACAGCAAAATTGAAGAGTTAAAATGGGGAGGGGAGGATGAGGCAGGGGAGACAACCACAGAAGAAGGATAGAGACCACCAGTCTCAATGTGTTTCCTCTGTTGCTGAAAGGGACTAAAAAGTTTGTTTTCTCTGATGCCTTCCTCAGCAGAACTGAGTCACTGAAATATTTCTCACTTCCCCATCTTTTTCTTATAAATATATGTGGCGATCAAAAAAATCACTGACGCTGCAAAAAAAAAAGTGCATGTTTGCGGGAGGGAGGAATAGTCTTTCGGCTCTTATAAAAAACTTGAAACCTTTTCTTCCTTTTGTTTCTTTTTTAACAGCCATTGAAGGTTGTCATTGATATTTTGGAATCTGGTATTTTGTTTCATTCTTAATGCTCCGTATACAATTTCAATTTTCCTTTCTTTATCTTTTTATGGGACACTGTTACTTAAAACAATGTTTTGCAAACTTGGCCACTTTAAGATATGTGGATTTGAATTCCCACAATTCCCTAGCCAACACACACATCCTGAACATGGAAGACCAGTCCCTGTAGCCAGAAAGGTTGTTGGGGGGGGGGACACGCTGCTTTACAGCATTCTCTGAGTATATTGCCCCCAACAATCTGGGTCCTCATTTTGACCAAACTTGGAAAGACAGAAGGCTGAGTCAACTTTAAGCTGTTCAGGATCAAACTCCTGACTGTGAGCAGAGTTTGCCTGCAATACTGGATTCTAACCACTGCGTCACCACGGCATAGTAATAGTAATAGTAATAGTAATAGTAATAGTAATAGTAATAGTAATAGTAATAGTAATAGTAATAGTAATAGTAATAGTAATAATATATAACTATTTTATTTTCTTGATTCCCCATCTTGATTCCCCTTGATTGTTCCATCTCTCATTATCAAGCAAATTTATTTATTTATTTATTATTTTATTAATTCAATTTGTATGCCGCCCCTCTCCGAAGACTCAGGGCGGCTCACAATGCATTTAAAATCATTATAAAAAACATTTAAAAATTAAAAACATTAAAACTCATTCACACCATTGATGGCCGGATCTCGCCGGATCGCAAGAGCGAGATCAACGGCCCCAGACCTGCTGGAGATCTGTACAGCTTTTGACCAGGATTGTCCCAGAGTTGTCCTCTAGTCCTGCTCTCCTGGCCACTCCCCTAGTCCTGGGGAGTAGGGATAGCCAGACCTGCAAAGAGAAAGGGTCAGGATCAGAGGTGGGTTTCAGCAGGTTCAGTCCAGTTCTGGAGAACCGGTAGCGGAAATTTTGAGTAGCTTAGAGAACCAGTAAATACCACTTCTGACTGGCCCTGCCCCCATCTATTCTCTGCCTCCCGAGTCCCAGCTGATTGGGAGGAACTGAGGATTTTGCAGTATCCTTCCCCTGCTATGCTCACCAAGCCACACCCACAGAACCGGTGGTAAAAAATTTTGAATACCACCACTGGTCAGTATATAGCCATCCGTTACAAGAGCTTTCCCCTTTGCCTGCCCAAGTGAACATGTGCATCATCTCTTTGCCCCTGTTTAGAACACCTGGGCAAATAACAAGACTTGGATAAGGGGAAGGGTCTTCCCAGACTGCCCCCCCCCAGGTCTGTTTCTCACCTAGCCTGTCAATAGTTAAATGAGTCTCTGTCTTTGAGAGATAAAGGGAACTTCCTGTTTCTGGAGTCTTGCATCTCCCCCTCTTTTTAAGATGTAGTTAAGATAGAGCATAGAAGTGAAGCTTTTTTGTTCCTGTCCATTTTCTAAGAAATATTACTTTAAATATAATGGATGTCTTTTAGTGTTCCATCCCAAATGCATATTTATCAGCTTAGTCTAGCTGCCAATAAATGCAAAGAAAATAGGCAGATAGGACGTATTTTTTTTTAATGGACTATTTCTATTTACATTTAACCTTTGGCCAACAGCTGCAAGCAAAAAAATAAAGCACAAAAGAATGTGCCTCAGACGCTTTTTATCTTTGAAAGATTAGAAACATTAAGCTCTTTTCCAGAAATTTTTGGGCTTTGGCAAGTTCTGGAAATGCAAAAATTCTCCGGACACAAAGAGCCAATAGTTTGGGAAGCCCAAATACAGAATGTCTGCGTATGTATGAGAAATGCGAGAGAGGTTTGGGACATTTTTTTTTACAAAAAAAAATATATATACAAAAATATTCTATTCAGAACCATAGGCTCTATCTATATGTCTGAAATAATGTGATCTTAAAAAATGTAGGCTACACATACCTCTCAGACCAACAGAGCCAAATTCGTAATTTAAGAAGGCTGTTGAAAATAATGAAGTTATTTCAAACTTAATTGTTTTCTTTCTGATGTCTCTTCCTTCATGAAACAAACTTTGCTATAGAAATAGAATAACAGAGTTGGAAGGGACCTTGGAGGTCTTCTAGTCCAACCCCCTGCCCAGGCAGGAAACCCTACACCACTTCAGACAAATGGTAATCCAACATCTTCTTAAAAATTTCCAGTGTTGGAGCATTCACAACTTCTGCAGGCAAGTTGTTCCACATATTAATTGTTCTAACTGTCAGGAAATTCTCTTTAGTTCTAAGTTGCTTCTCTCCTTAATTAGTTTCCACCCATTGCTTCTTGTTCTACCCCAGGTGCTTTGAAGAATAGCTTGACTCCCTCTTCTTTGTGACAACCCCTGAGATATTGGAACACTGCTATCATGTCTCCCCTAGTCCTTCTTTTCATTAAACTAGACATACCCAGTTCCTGCAACTGTTCTTCATATGTTTTAGCCTCCAGTCCCCTAATCATCTTTGTTGCTCATCTCTGCACTCTTTCTAGAGTCTCAACATCTTTTTTACATCGTGGCGACCAAAACTGAATGCAATATTCCAAATGTGGCCTTACCAAAGCATTATAAAGTGGTATTAACACTTCACATTATCTTGATTCTATCCCTCTGTTTATGCAGCCCAGAACTGTTCAAGCTGTTCAAGAAAGCCTGAATTTGGACCAGATATATCCAAAATATATTAGCAGAAATCCCATATGGGAACAGAAAAATTCCCATATGGGAATAGAAAAATTATCTGAGCAAACAGAATATTTCTCCTTTTCCTTTTCTCTAAGAAAAGGAAGAAAGAAACTGAACTGTAGAACTGAATCCCTATATCGTGGTTGGACATGTAACTGTCACAAAAAGGCATGAGATTATGGTTCTATCCACTGGAAGAATACCAATAATGACCACTGGCTTTCTTTGGTAAAAAAAAATAAGGACAGCTGTGGCCCAGTGGCCATAAGTACTGTAGATAATAATATTTTGCAATTTCCTATCTCTAGTATCCAACCAGCGCTATTATGTGAGAACATACAAGGGATAGTAAGTTGAGGTAGGGTGCAGAAGTGAATTTGCAAGAAGCAATAGCTGGGACAGCAAAATAACTAATGTATTCACGGAGATCTAGCAAAAGGAGCCCCACAGGCTGACCAAAAGAAAAGAGACACAGGAACTGTAGACCATATCCTTTGGCCATATCAAAAAGGAGCCAGTTCACAAAGATGAGAAATAAAATCAGACAAGAAGGAGAAAGATGAAACTGGACAACGTGTGGAACTGCTTGCTAGAGGAAAAGTCATTGCTGGCCTGAAGATGCCAGCACACAACAAGCTTCAATTAAATGGATACACTGATGAGATCAGGTTGATCACAGATCTGCAGGGGATATCTGCTGTTCTATGGTGGTGGAGCAATTGTGCCTATGAGAAGCAAGCCACCATGGCACTGCCTATCTTAAAACTGGCATTTCCAGTTGTTCTTGACCCTGACATGGTTTAATGTCTTCCAAATTTGGTAATTCAGAATGGTTGTGTTGAAGGTAGGTGGCATGGCATGTTCACATTTCATTCAGACAGTAATTGGTTTAGACTGGTCAGTTGTTCTCAAAATTTCCCTCAGACAAATCTCCTATAATCAGTCATGTCTACAGCCTTCTATAGCTTTGTGACCGAACAATGCCCCAGAGATTCAGATGGCCCTGATCCTTTTAGCCTTTTGTAACACTCTGAAGACCTGACTGTGTCCCCAGAAGGTTAAGGAAGCTTGGCTGTTAATGTCATTTTAGGATTGGATCATTTACCTCATGAGACATTGCTTTTAAGTTTGGGTGTTGTTGTTTTTTCATCCTTGATTGCTACCCATAGTCACTATTGTGAGAAGGGCAGCCAAATTGTGTCTGTGTGTCTATATGAGTACAATAGCATTCCAGCCATCCTCACGTACTTCTCAAAATGAAGAATTGCAAAATCACAAAAAACAATATCAGTCTTTTTCTTCATTTTAGGATCAGCTTCTCCCACCATTTATCCTAATCTTGACATTCTGAGGGTGAAGAAGGGAGATTCAGTCACATTACTTTGCTCAGGGAAATTCCCTGTTGAGTGGATCGGAATCCAGAATGGGTCCACCCTGATGGTGTATGACAATGGAACCCTCTACATGCCTAAGGCTAGTTGCAATCAAATGGGAAACTACCAGTGTGCTTATATCAACAAACCAGAAGAGGAGATTAGAACTTTATATGTGGCTGTGACAGGTAACCAGATTTCTCCTTATTATCTCTCATATGCTCTGAAAATAAATCATTGCAAATACTAAATAAACACTGACTGGGAATTGTGTTCCCCATACCTCCACTGTCAGCTGACAGTGTTTTTACCTGATGATGGAGGGGTTGTAAAGTGTGGAGTGTGAAGCCTGCTGTAGATATGTTAGCATCTTGCTCCATCAGGTAGTAAAGACACTTGGTAGAAGATGAAAAACCTAGGCCAGCAGGATTAGAAACTGACCCCTTGTATGAGTATTTTTTTTCCAGCAAGGCTTAACTATATAAATGTGTTTTTTTTTTCATATATGAAACAAAGCAATCATGGGAAATCCCTTCTGCAAATTTGTCTAGTTCAGCCATGGGAAATTAGCTCATTTGGATGACTCATAAAATGGAGTCCTTTCAAGCAAAAGAGGCAGTTGTTAATTCAGATGCCTACAATCATAGAACATTATCAACTTTGATTCTTGGACAGATTGTGTCCCAAGGAGAACATACCTGCAATTTGGGAGTCCTTTTCATTTCACATCTGAAAGATTTGAAGGATAAGGTTGCCAAGCAAATTGTCCTAGGGAAAAATCTATTGATGTGTTTTTTAAGAGCCAAAACTGGCCTGATGGCATAAATGACTCTGGATTCACAACTCCTGCTTCATGAGCAAATGGTGAAATTTGCTCTTGAAGACCACGTAGGGACTTTAGCTGCCATAAAATTCATTACTGCTACATTGCATTGCTGCTTTGTAGCTATTGCCTGTTACCTGACCAGGTAGCTATTACCTGTTACCTGGTTGAAGATGCTAGTTATCACATATAAAGTCCTATAAGTCTTGGAGCTTTGGATCAATTTAGGGCCTGTTCATTCAATGAGGGAGACCAAAACATGCTGAAGAGCCCTTCCTACCATGAAGCACATTGAGCGGGAGTTTTTCTCCTGAGGCAAGACTGACTTTACCAAATATTAGTGGAGTAATCACACAAAGCTGCTTGATATTGATTGGCTATTGTATACATTATCTTATTTTCTTTTACAAATGAAGGCAAATGTATCTGCCTCAAGATAATGTTGCAGGATTCAGTCTGGGTCACCAGAATGTGAGAGAGAAGCTCCCTGAGGATAGGCTCCAGTAGGAGTCCAAAAGCTCAGTAGACTAAACCTCTGTTGCTGGTGACTGACCCAGATTGGATCCTGTTATTACTTTTATTATAATTAATAGCTATACCTTGTCTAGAGTGTATGCTGGGTTGAGGCAAAGGATATACTGTATCTCATAAACAAACAAATACACAACAAATACAACAGAGGTGTCTACTGAGAGAGAATACCTGAGCTCAGAGATTTTGCACTCACCACCAAGTCAGCCTCAGGCAACCTTATTTCAGATTAATTCCAGCTGTTTTACTATGCATGCCAAGCTACCAAGATTCCTAACATATTTCTTCTGTAGATCCTACAGATCCTGACTTGGTGTGGTGTGGCCTTAGTGATGTATATCCTTCTGTGGAAAAGGGCAGGGATGCCTTGATTCCATGCCTGATTGCTGACCCAGGATTCACAGGCAACATGATCCTCCTTAAAGATTCTTCTCCAGTTCACTCAAGAGTCTCGTTCAGTCCTAAGGAAGGAATGTGGATTCACAAAGTAGAGCTGAGTGATAAAGGGTTCTATGAGTGTAAAGCCCAGGTTCAAGGAAAGTGGGTGATTTCACACAGAATTATCCTTTCAGTCTATGGTAGGTTGGAACTGCTCTTTTGTCATGACTTGAACATGTATTTCCAAGCCTTTGGGGATAGTTGTTGTGGCAGTACTTAGACAAAGTGCTTCAGTGCATGTGGTTCATTTTTTCAACATGGAGAGTGTTAGATCGGCGCAGGGAAAGCAAGACGCGACCAGCTCTGGTCCAGTTCAGTACTTTATTCAAGCACAGGAAAAAGACGAGCGGCTGGGCTGCCGGAGCTCCTTTTATACGCTCCGGCAGACTCAGCCACCCACTGACAGTTATTTGAATTTCCTGCCGGAGGATTAGCCAATCCCCGGCGGGTGCCCATATAAGGACATAACAGAGAGGTTGATTCCAAATTCTCTATATTCATTCTGCTGTGCAGTGCTGGATCAATATTAATCAACAAAGAACAATTGTCCATCCTGGCAGGAGAATGAAGAGCTGCTTCAGTACACCAGTTGTTCTTTACTGTCACTGCCAAACTGGTTTGAAATAATGTAAAGTAAAATGGGAAATCCTCTCCATGATAACTTTTCAATCCATTGTGTCAATATTGCTGAAAAAGATACTGAAAGGTTTGGATAATAAATCATCATCAAGCAGAAAATAGGAAAGGGACAACATAAAAGATGGTGAAAGGATCAGGAGCTTTAAAAAAATACTCAGCCATTAAGCAGAAATAGCAAAGGGATAATATAAAAAAAGATGAAGATGTTTGGTTTGTTTGACTGACAAGCCTTCTTGTTCAGTCTTTTCTGACAGACTCTTAATAGACTTTTCTGACTTTTCTTAGACAACGATCAGCCTTTGACAGTTACTATTGGAGGACTAGCAAACCATCTGCGGTTACAAGGAGAACCATTCAACATTTCCTGCAGAGTACAATATCACTCTCATGAATATAATGGCAAATGGATCTATCCCCTTACTGCAAATGTAAGTCATTTCTAAGGGTTTTGGATGTGAGCCTTAGCTTGCATTGTTTGTCTTGAATGAGCTCAGAGTTACTTGTGGCTTGTATAAGCCAGTTCATGCAAGGACTCAGACGAGTCTTCCGGAGCTATTGAACAACAATGTCTACCATCCCTAACCAGCAAGACATTCAATGATCATCCAATGATTTAATATGTGCTGCAATGTCACAATGAAAACTCTGCTCCTTAGATAGTTGGGTGCAACATAGAGACACACAACTAAAAAATGACGGCGCTTGCAAAATGACACATGTGTCATCATTTTGGCATCATCATGGCTAGGTGCAGGCATCGTGAGGCTATTGACTGGCTGGGATGTCGGGAGTTGTAGTCCTCAGTGATTCAAACTGAAGAAAGCTGCTTCAACTGCATCAAATAGATGTACTGCTGAATCTTATTTCTTTCTTTTCACCTACATTAATTGCTTTTAAAAGAGTTTTTATACTTAAGTATACTTTTATATGGGGACACGGTGGCTCAGTGGCTAAGACACTGAGCTTGTTGATCAGGTCAGCAGTTCAGCGGTTCGAATCCCTAACCCCGCAGAACGGGGTGAGCTCCCGTTACTTGTCCCAGCTTCTGCCAACCTAGCAGTTTGAAAGCAGATAAAAAATGCAAGTAGAAAAATAGGGAAAATTGGTGGGAAGGTAACAGCACCCTGTGCGCCTTCGCTGTTTAGTCATCCCAGCCACATGACCATGGAGATGTCTTTGGACAGTGCTGGCTCTTCGGCTTAGAAACAGAGATGAACACTGCCCCCTAGAGCTGGAAATGACTAGCACGCATGTGCGGGTGAATCTTTATTTTTACCTTATACTTTTATATTTAAATAATACTGGTGTGAACCCATTGTCCTCATGGCTTAATATTTAGGAACTACCGTGTTTTCCCCGAAAATTAGACCCTGTCTTATATTTTTTTAACCCTGAAATAAGCACTTGGCCTTATTTTCCTGGAGGTCTTATTATTTTGGGGTGCATGGAGCAAGATGGGGTTCCTCTTGCCATCTTACCTGATTTCCAGCTCTGCATTTAAATATTTTTGGGGAGGGCTTATTTTCAGGGGGAGGCTTATTTTAGCGCATGCACTCAAAAGCCCGGTTGGGCTTATTATCAGGGGATGTCTTATTTTCGGGAAAACAGGGTAGCATAATCTTAAATATATATGATCATGAAATAGCATGAACATCTGATATTAACAAAATATGGAGGACCGGTGGGAAAAGCTCTAAAGCAGTGGTTCTCAACCTGTGGGTCGCGACCCCTTTGAGGGTCAAATGACCCTTTCACAGGGGTCGCCTAAGACCATCAGAAAACACATATTTTCAATGGTTTTAGGAATAATTTTATGGTTGGGGGTCACCACAACATGAGGAACTGTATTAAAGGGTCGCGGCATTAGGAAGAATGAGAATCACTGCTCTAAAGTCTGGTAAAGTTTTAATTGGAGATAATGGCAATGAGCATTAGAGTTCATATTTCCCAATCAGCCCTATATCTGTCTTTTCTTACCACAGGCCAGCTGGAATATAATGGATTTAGATACCGGATTATCTCAGTCATACGCCACTGATTACAGCCTATTCATTCCAGCAGTGCAGTTACAAGACAGTGGAATATATACTTGCCTTGGGGAAGCTGCACAATTACATGTAAATGTTTCGGTTACTCTCCAGGTGCTAGGTAGGTAAGAACACAGGGAAAACCTCCTTACCCATCAATAAAAATAGATTCTCTGTATCCAAAACATCCCACCAGTTTATAAATAATGTTGTCTTCTTTCAGTTTCTGTGGGATTTTACATTGTGTTAGATGACCAGAAGGCTTTTATGGATAGAAATATGGAATGTTAGTTAAATCAATCAGAAACGAATAAACATAGCACATGTGAATAATTACCAAAGTTTGTCTATCGTTTAGAATTCTAGTCTCTTAGTAAGAAAAATGCATGATAAAGACAGAAACTCTTAATATTTTCCAGAATTCGAGTGTGTTAGTTTTGTGTGTATATACACACAACTATAAAACACCAAAACTCAGAGTTACTTCTCATTAATTAGTATAACAACTACTACAAAGTTTTCAAATGAAATGTAGCATTGCTTTCTACTCTTTTTTTAAAAATTCATCAAGATAAGAATAAAATGTCTAATTCTTTCAGAATCAGGGACGTAGAAGGCAAGATACCTCCTTTTCACACATCCCATATATCTATTCATATCTCTCCACCATTTGGAAAGGCAAGGTTTCTGGGGTAATTCAGCTATCTTGCTCCAATCAAATCTTGTCCATAAAATCCATATCAGTGCTTAAGTTCAACACATTTATGACCAATGTTTCTGCTTTCCGGATATACGTAACAGAAATCAAAAGCTTAGAAGCTCCCATCCTAAAGAAGAGCTGAACTACCCCAGAAATATTAAGTTTATATTTTGTCCCAGCACTTTCCTCAGTTCATGTTTGTTTCTTTTGTAAGCCCATCGATAGAAACTATCTTTCTACTGGATTTTTTAAGCCATCTAGTATCCCCATCTTTGGGGTTAAAGATCAGATAAGAACTCTTTCTCTAACAGGGTACCTTCCAGTTGTATTGACCCATAATTCACGTGGAACTTTGGGAGTAATTGTCCAATGTATTTCAAGGCCACCAGGATGGAGATATGGTTTTGAATGAAGTCCTGTTTGTGGGATTTTTAAATTCTGCACACAAAAGTCACTATTTGCTGTGGCAAATATTGAATCATGTTCATCATGTGGCATCATGGTTGTTCCTTGTGAATGTTGCAAGAATTAATTGGTGTTTGGTGTACCCTCCAAGATATACATGCCCCTTACAAATATTGAACCTCATTGGACTGAGTTTCGATAAACCATGAATTCTTGAACTCCCTTGTATAATATATGTCCGTTCCTAAAAATTACTTCTGTGATTCCCTGTAAGCCCAAACCAAATACATTCTAGACATTCTTCCTTTCCACAGTCCAAACAGGCACTTCGTCGTTTCTCAGGAACTGAATTGAAGAAAGGGAATATCAGCGTTAAGTACCGTACTTTATTTTTGCTTTGGAATACTGCTGGATTCCTCAGTGATTATCATCATTATAGCTTCCACAATGGAGAACTCTGCTAAGAGCCTAGCTATTTTCCTCAAAGTGAAAGTTTTTTTCTCTTCACTTTCCTAGACATTAACTTTGTACTTTGCTTTCCAGAGAAAGGGTATCTGCACTTGTCCACATTACAGAACAGAATTCAGGAGACCAACATGCATCAAAACCTGAATCTTCAGGTGTTCATTGATGCTTATCCTAGACCTTCAACATATAGATGGATACATCATCAGGACTTTCCATCAGGAAAGTCCACAGTGTCTGGTGATATGAGCTTTGGCAATCACAGGTAAGGACTATGCAGTGTCTTCCCTTCCTTCAGTTTTTTTCTCTTCCAATTATAGTTCTGTTGTCAGTCCTAATTTAGCCTTTAGGGAGAGGAAGACCCAGTAAGGAAGACCCAGTAAGGTTGCCCCATATTATGCAGCAAATCCACTATGTGTTTTATTGAGTCTTTCTCTGAGAAATACCCCTGCTTAGGCATGATGCTTCAAGCATCAGTCTTATCTTCTCTGCTTTTTCACATCTATGTTAAGCCCTGGGAGAAGTAATTCTATACTTCAGTTTGTGATATCGTGCATATGTGATAATACCCAATTGAACATCACTAGCCCCAACCATGAGGAGATGCAATCAATTTCCTTTCCTGGTGCTAGGAAGCTGTCAGGGTCTGGATGGGAGACAATAAACTGAAGCTCAGTCTTCACTTGTCAGCATCCTCTGTTGCCACCAGAGGTATTCCTTGATGGTCAAACACTACCCAGCAAGAAGAAGGTTTGCAAATTCTTAATTCAAGGCTCTTGTTGAATAAGCAAATGAAAACTATCCCTAGAGGGAGTTATGCCCAAGTCGGGTTGGTGCATCAAGTGTGCTTATCTTACCTGAGGCAGGAGGACTTAGCTACTCATGCTGTCTAGTTGAATTAGTGAAAGTCATAGTAATAGGAGACTGCCCTTAAAGAGTATTTAGAAACTACAGCTGGTTGAAAATGCAGTGGCCTGCATAGTTTCAGCTTCAACATTGGGAGCACATAACTAGTTTTGCAATCCCTGAATTGTTTGCCATTTGTTTTTCTTGCCTAACTGAAAGTGTTGGTTTTGAACTACACATGCTATTCATAGCTTGCCAAATACTTATTTCTTCACCCAGTTTTGACTCTACCAATTACTTGCATGCATATTTGTTCTCTCTTTTGGCAGACATAACAATACACTCAGGTTGAATTGGATGGAGGAAAAAGACAGTGGTGAATATATATTTTTTGCAGACAACGGGGAAGCCAATGCATCTATTCATTTTCACGTCTCTGTGAAAAGTACGTTCTGTGCTACTCATTTTTTGTAATAGCATGTGGGAATGATCTTGGAAGACAGAGATGCAGCCAAGGGAATGGATAGATTAATGGTGAGATAAAAGAGAAGCAGCAGGAATGTGGCTAGGGCAAGCATCTCAGAAGGGACCCTCCCTAGTTTCTTGGGCTGTAAAGGAGATGTGGGGGGGGTGTGAGATTCTGTTAACATACAGTAGCCTTACAAATAGCATAGAATTAGCTCATCTGATCATGCTTTCCATCTGGAATTTCCAGAAAGGCTGATGTTTTTCAACCAGTGCTAGAAGACTGAAAAGCCACAAAAATCTTTCTAAGGGAAATCCAGTTTCCCTTAAAACCAAATATAACTTAACTATATCTGATCTCAGTGTAGGTAAGCAAAAGGAAATTATCTTCTTTTTTGTGGCAAAGCAAACACCAGGTTTTTCCCCAAACCTGTATCTTATCATTGTTGATATGGTCCTAGAAGTAATCCTGAATTCTTATCAGAAGTTGCCTTTCATTCAGATGGAAAAAATAATTTGACTTTATGCCCCTGTATGGAAAAAGTGATGGGGAGCTAAATTGCAAAGAGCATGCTATTAATCTGATTTCCCACAAGTTCCATTTTTCAGTGTGCTACCATTTTAGTGCTGCTAATGAGATTTGAAATGAAGAAAATATGTTGCTGTCTGTTAACTTTAATGATTCCTTTGTATTTGCTTTTTAGTTAAACCAAAAATTACAATGTTGACCAACCTTTCCAGTAGACTCCAATGTGAAGTAACTGGCTATCCTCCTCCACATATTCAATGGTACAAATTCCCCTCCCACGTTGATAGGTGAGTTAACAGAATCACAGCACAATCCAATGCATGCCTGCTGAGATTTAGGGGTGTAATGGCACTGCAGCTGTCAGATATCACCATTTTCATTATGGAACTGATACATCTCAGTTCTCAATACGTTGACTCTATTAACAGCTTAGAAAGGGCTGTGTGATACTGTGTGTCTAAGTGCTATTGCTATTGTTATATTTTATATATCTATAATGAAGGAAATCCACTGGGCTGATTTGTTTGTTTTGATTTTGGTTTCTTTTGAAATGCAGCTTCCTACTATGTAATCTCTGGGGTAGTTAATTTACACTGAATTAACATTATAGAAGCAATCAATAAAAGACAAAAGAGCATAGGAAAAAAATGGGTTTATGAAGCTGATTGCCATAAGAAACTGTTGCTAATTTGCAGATCATGCTTATTTGTGAATGATTCTCATCCATTGGTTGTTTCTTTTGGAGTGTTATGTTCATTGCACAGTTTTGGAATTGTGATGGTTGCTGCTAATTCAAATGATCTAAAGGCCAATGTCAGTGAGATCAGGAATGGTAGCGCCTAACCCATGTGTTAGACCAGGGGTCCCCAACAGGGGTGAAATGCTCCTGGGTGGTTTGGAGAACTGGTAGCAAAACTCCCTGCTCCCCCCCACATGCCCAGCTGAGCCGCGCGATCATCAGAGGCTTTTTTTTATTTTTAAAAGCATTTTTTCCACAACCTCTTTGGCCAATAAAATGCTTTTAAAAGTAAAAAAAAAAGCCTCTGATGATCGCGCGGCTCAGCTAGGATCGTCAGAGGCTTTTAAAAGCATTTTTTCTACAACCTGTTCGGCCGAAAAAATGGTTTTCAAAGTTAAAAAAAAAAGTTGGCCACGCCCACTCAGTCACATTACCCCACCACCACCAAGCCACACCCAGAACCTGTAGTAACAAATTTAACATTTCACCACTGGTCCCCAACCCTCAGGCTGCAGACCAGTAAAAGCACGCAAGCAAAGCTTCATTTGTGCATATGCAGCATCTAAGTAGTGCACAAAATCACTCTCCCCATCCCACCCCGGCTGGATCTATGGAAAATTTTCTTTTCCACAGAACCAGCCCTTGGTGCCCAAAAGGTTGGGGACCACTGTATTGGACAGTATCTCTTTGATGAATTAGCTATTTCCCCTGTTCTCATCATTTGGACAAGGGCAAGAAAAACCTCTGATACATCAATCCTTAGAAATTCCAGCAAATAAAATTTTTATCCATCTGTCATACTAATATCTGACATTTTTGTTTGTCTATCAGATGTGGTCAATATGGGGCCCTGATTTTGAATGACTCCCATCTAGAGATCATGAGTAAAATTCCCTTTGTCAGAGTGTCATTGAAGAGTGTCCTTAAGGTGGAGACGGAGGACAGTGAAACCATTTGCTGTTTTGCAGTTAATAGTGCTGGAAATGACTCCAGTTTCATTAAATTTTCTGTTGATAAGATTATTGGTAAGATCAATCTAAATATTCATTTGATTTTAAAAAAAAGTTTTCCTGAGTTATTTCAGTAATTTTTCAATATACTCTGTGTGATTTCACCACCATCTTTTTTTAAAAAAAAAATATCATTTTTCCATTCACTTAAAGCAAACATTTGCTGCTATAATTTGGGGGGTTGGAGGGTTTGAGAAAACTAAACAAGAGTAGATTTATTCAAAAATTCAAATGTACAAAAAAAATAAAAGAAAGAAAGAAAATCCAAAAAGGAATGGATTTCCACCTGAAACTTACACATTTTGGTTCCTTTTATTTCTTGTTTTTTGGTAACTTATGATACATTTTTAAAAAAAACTATTGGAGGTTTTTAGCAATAAATGCACATTTTCCATCTTTAATTTCTGCTCTCTGGGCTAGTTTTTCATCTTTTTATAAAGGACTAGTATTTTCAAAACTTGGGGAAAAGAGCGATATGGTGGATGAATATTTAATTCCACCTTCCCCAGCTGTTTTGGAAGATACATCTCTACTACCTTATTGTATTGCACCAAAAGGAATAGAAAGCCAATGCTTTTCTTTTTCTTTTTTTCCCTTGTCCTACACTTTTCTCTCTTCTCTTTTCCTCCCTTATTTTCACCATATTTTCATTTTTCTGTATTTTTCTGTATTTTATATTTTGATAAACTAAAAAAAATACTATAAAAAAGGAATACACATCTCATCACCCCATCAATCTGTGAATTATTGTCCAAAATACCTGGATAAATTTTCAGCATGAATTAACTCAATACCATTCATAAAGGTATAAAGCACAAAGACAGATATAATAAATTTAAAAGAGTAGTTTGAGTCATACATCATGCCAAATGATGGTTTGTTCAATTAACCACAATAGTCTCAGTTGGCATAACATGCTGTGCCAGAAACCAACAATTGAGTTCACTTTGCAAATTCAACAATATTTCAGACTGCTAGAAAAAAACTCTGGTGCATGCTACTGTCATGTTGTGATTATATTTACCCTAGTTTGACAAACTGACCACAGAACCTTCTCCTGTTGGTCTCAAGGATGTTGGAACTCCCTGCAACTGTTCTCTTCCTTCTGCACTTTGTTTTTCCAGGAAACGAGAATGAAAATTCCAAACTACTTTATGCAGGCTTTGGAGGCACAATGGGTTTTCTTCTTCTGTGTATCATCTTCTTAGTCTATAAGTATAAACAGGTACGGTTTTTTAAAATTTATGTATAGAAGGAAAAATAATCAAGAATTTGTCCAAGAAGCCAAAGGAGCTCTGAAACTCACATGACTTGGTGTTATTTGGATATGTTTTGAACCACAGTCTCCATCATCCCCAATGAATAAGGAAGCTGAGTGATTGTGGAAGTTGCAGTTCAGAGAAATAATGTTTCTTAAAAAACACACATATGCCAATAGGCTGAAGGAAGGAAAAAAACAGAATTTTTCAATACGTTTCTTTCTACCACCTCCCAAAAAAGAGGGAAGGGAGAAATATATTCTGTGTGAAACTCAATTAAAGCAAACAACCTCTTTAAGATTAAGATTACAATATATAAACAGTCATTAGTACAACACCAGAAGTAAAATGTATAGAACAGCATGTTTGTGGCAAAAACAGGTTTTACCAAAGCCAGCCTAATTTCTTTTACTTGTTGCTTAAAAACCACAATTGGCCCTGCAATTTTGATCATAACTCAGGGCATAAGAACGTTACACATGACCTAACTCAATTTTCTGACCATTTTTTCCAACGGTCGTAAACTGAGTCACCATGATCATCAAAAAAAGTCACAAATCACAGTCATGTGACCATGTGACATTGCAACCAGTGGTAAATGTGAGCCTGTTGCCAAGTGCCCAATATGTGGTCATGTGACTGTAGGAGGCAGCATGACATTTTAGGCTGCTGGAAGTGCATATAACACCCTTTTGGAGACTGTCGTAACTTCAAATAGTCATTAAGAAACTGGTTGTTAAGCAAAGAGTATCTGTATATTTATTCTGGGAATTTAAAATCTCACTGCTACCACACCCAAATGATGAAATGTGGGAGAAATTCTTCTGATAGAATTTTCTCTCTTGTTGTCTCTTTTTCTATTGTGCAGGGAGAGCAGGGAATAAGGACCAATTCCTCAGGAACAATTTTAATTTTATTTGTTTTAATCTATGAAGTGATATTACTTCATTAACAATTACATTGTTGAACAGATTTTGTGAATATATGTCCTAGTTTTATAAGTCACCTAGAGTTACCCAGTGGTAAAATGGATGGCCAATAAGTTTGATAAATAAGTAATTTACAGAATAATAACTTAGTTTTCATAAAATGCATGTATGTCCTTTTTTTCCCAATATAATTATTATCTCTTGTTTTTCTTTTCCTCCCTTTTTTCCTTTTATGGGTATCTTTCTCAATTCTTATGCTATGTATTCAGTTACCGCTTCTCCTCTTTTAATAAGGAAATGCTCTGTTAATTCTTTATTCAAATTTCAATGCAACAATCTGTCATTTTATTAGATTACCAAAATAGAATCAGGCCGTATAAGCATAATACCAAAATACTGTGAAACAACATATCCGTGTTTCCCTGAAAATAAGACCTTGTCTTCTATTTTTTTTGAACCCCAAAATAAGCGTTTGGCCTAATTTTCAGGGAAGTCTTATTATTTTGGGGCATGTGGAGCAAGATTGGGCTCCTCTTGCCATTTTACCTGATTTCCAGCTCTGTCTCCATAACGCTAACCAGATGAAATGGCGGAGACTGGCTGTGCATGCATTTAAATATTTTCAGAGAGGTCTTATTTTCGGGGGAAGTCTTATTTTGGGGGGGAGGTCTTATTTTCAGGAGAGGTTTTATTTTGGGGGGAGCTTTTATTTCTGGAGGATGTCTTATTTTTGGGGAAACACAATATGATTCCTAAATAATTTCTTTTCTCAGAAACCAAAATATCAAGTCCACTGGAAAATTATTGAAGCCTGTGAAGGAAACAATTACATCTTTATTGACCCCACCCAGCTTCCTTACAATGAGAAATGGGAATTTCCTAGAAACAACCTGCAATTTGGTGAGGAGCACCTCTAAATGTTTATCTCTAACCAAAAGCTCATTTGGCCCTACAAGCAGAGTAGATACTGAAATTATACAACAGTATGAAAATATCTAACTATGGAATAGGATTGTAGCATTATTCTTGTTGAAAATGTTGAGGTTTTATAGAAGCAGAAAAATGAGGCCAAATAAAAATTAACTCTTGAATCCAAGAGTAAATAAGCTGTGGAATATATATACCGTTGGAATGTTGTTGTTGTTGTTGTTTTAAAATTGAGATTGAATAACCAAAGCGAGGCATAATGGAAAAACAGAATTGCCTTTTGAAAATCTCACCTTGGCCATATTGACTTATTCACTATTAACAAACTCTGGTAAAAAATGTTTTCAAGATCATGTTTTCAAGCATATATTCTCACCCACACAGAGAGAGAATTAAAATCCTATTGTATTTCCAAATTTATTATTTTATTTATTATAAATTTATTATAAAATTATAAATTTATTATTATCTGCAGCATGCCCCTTCGGCATGAGTGGAACGGGCCAATGCCAGTGGAGTGAGAAGGTTCTTCAGATAGCCTGATAACCAATACCTTGAATTCCAATACCTGGAAGCAAACCAGTAGCCATTGTAGCTTGTGGTACAGCAGTGTAACATGGGCCAATTTAGGCACCCCGAGAATTGGCCACGCCACTGCCTTCTCCAACAGTTATGGCTTTCCAATACTTTTCAAGGGTAGCTCCATGTAGAGTGCATTTGCAATAGTCGGATTACTTCAATTTGCATCCTAAATTACAACAAAATAAAGAACTTTTTTTTTCAATCATTCTTGAAAGTGCCGAAGGAAACATTCTGATTCTTGGAGATGTGAATTTTTTTTTTCTATATACATGGACAAATCTGCTTTTATTTTTGTTCATTTGAAATTGTATCTGACCTCAGGCTATAATAAATTTTGAAATCATTTGAAATGATTTTTCATGCTTACAAGTCTGCAGAAGATGAATTGTGGCTCCAACTACTTTTACATGGATACGGCGCATTTTTAAAAAAACTTAAGAAGCCAAGATCATGAATATTTATGACAGAAATGTACTTATCTAAGGAGACAGGAAAAATCTGCCTCCTTTCTCCTTTCTTATTTTGATTGGCATTAGAGTCTCTGGCAAAGAATGTATGCCAAAAAAAAACAAAACCAAAAAACTGGAATTAAATTGGAAACTCAGAAACTAAAATAATACACTATTTTTTTTAATTTTTTTTTTACTTTTTTTTTATTGAAAAAGTTTTTCAAATACAAATTTTCCCCCTTTCCCCCCCTCCTCCCTAACCCCCCCTTGCCCTCCCCTCCCCCTGTGGCTTCTTCAAGATACAACCCAAATTCATAACAGATTATATAATACTTTACCATCCCCTTGCTCCATCCCCCATATGCTGACCCTTTCTTTCTAATAATATTATTATATCCCCCTTATACTATACATTTCGAAATAACATTCTACTATAACATTATATAATAACTCCTAATTTAGCATAGTAATATTATTATATCCCCCAATTTAACAATTTCTACTCATAAACTACTCTTTTACTCCTCCCCCATACATATATCTCTTAAATCAAATCTTTTTTGTATATTAATATGACATTTCAAAGCAACCTTCCATTATAAAACTATATAATAAATCCTAATTTAACATTTATTCAACTCATAGTCTGCCCATTTCCTCCACCCCCATAGATATATCTCTTAACTCAAATCTTTTACATATATTCATATCTAAACATAATATCCCTTTTCTTCAACGAAACAATCAATAAGCTAACCTATCTCCATCCACTTTCCTACAGAACTACCATACATAATAGTTCTTGATATCTTTATTCTTCTGCCCACACCACTAAGAAGTATTCCCTTATATAAATAAAATCCTCAAATGACTTTAAGTTTGTAATCTATATAATATCTTCTGTAGTGTCTTTCAGCTGGATTGTTAACTCCATCACCCATATTAGGGTAACATCACATCCTAATTCCAACAGTATGTTCGGTATCTTCAATTACCATCTGCCCCCATCAACAATAGATGTCTTGATATATAAAAAACACCCACCCGAGTGACTTTATATTTGTATTCCATATAGTGTCTATAGTAGTGTCTTTCATCTAAATTATTAATTCCAACCACCGTAATAGGGTAACAACCAGATCTTCTGCATGCCCCAATCCCATAACTCTCTTGCCTTGTAGCTCAACATAAACGTAATACATTTATCAAAGAATCCAAAATAGATAATTCCAATCCATTCAGTTTAAGGCCCTTTTCACATGCCAAAAGTAGAGCACTGCAGAGGTCTGTCACTCTCCTCAAGATAATATAAACCAATACTTTGCCTCAGCTATCTTTTCATATATTCAATCATCTCTTAGATAACTGGCATTGCACTGTTGTTTAGTTTAAAAGTTTTTGTTTTTGTAAGACCTGCTTCTTCTTTTCTTGACTTTTTGTGGGTTAGATCTCCATCCTGATTTCCTTTCTATAAATTGTGTATATTTGGTTTTCATGCTGATCTATAACTTGATCTTGTTGGTTTTGCTTTTGTGGCTTAAGTCTCCATTCTGGTTTCTTTTCTTTGAGTTGTATGTCAACTGATTGATTTCTATGCTGGTCTGTAACTTGATGAATCATCACATTAGAATCCAAAGCCGCCTCTCTTGTATTTATAAATAATCCAGCTGTAACCTCTGAAGGAGAATCCAGAAGCTGCTCATCTACAAAGTCCTCTGTAACTTGTTGTTTTTCCATTACTTCCATCTCTTTCTGCTTATCCTGAATTTCTATCTCTTGTTGATTTTGCTTTTCTTTATTCCACTCATGTATTATACATGAAGATGTTGAACCCATTTTAAGAACCTTATAGTAAAATTCTTCCGCTTTTTCAACAGAATTTAGTTGGTATCTTTCTCCTTGATATCTCAATATTATGTCAACTGGGACATCCCACCTGAATGAGATGTTTTGTTTGTTTAGCTCAGTCACCAAAAATCCGAATTTCTTTCTATCTTTTAATATCTTGGGCGGCAACTCTTTATATGTCCAGATCTTTCTTCCATACAATTGTAGAGTGGAATTAAAAGATTTTTGCACAATATCATTTCTTATTTCTTTATCTGTAAAATAAATCACCACATCTCTAGGCATTTGCCTTTGCTTTGCAATCCAAGAATTTACTCTATAGGCCTTGTCGATCTTACAAGATACCTCCTCTGGATGAATCTTTAAAATCCCAGCCAGAACTTGAGCAGATATTTTTCTTAAATCATCTCTATTATTTTCCTGTAACCCTCTCATTCTAACCGCAAATTCTGTGAGCCTGTATTGCATCATTGTAACTTCTTTTTCAATCCCTTGTTTTATATTTTCTGCATTGTAAGTCTCGTGATCAGCTTCCTTTTTAGACTTTACTTCAGAGCTATTGTCTTGAATATTTATCAAATCATTTTCCATTCTTTGTATTTTATTGTTCAAATTATAAATCTTATCATCAACTTCCTCCATTTTAGACTCTAATAACTTGATATTTGTATCCATCTTTATAACTATTTCTGAAAAAGCATTAGTCACTGTTACAATCTTTCTTTGTAAGTTATCATACTTTAATTGTATGAATTCTTTAATTTCCTGCTTAAATTTTTCAAAATTCTGGTTCACAATCTCGTCATGTCTTGCCATTTCCTTCAAAACAAATTCTTTTAAATTAAAACCATTCTTCTGAGTCTGTAAACTCGAAACTTGTTCACATAATTGTAAATGGGGGAACCCCCCCCCCCCGCTGCTTGTTTGTCTGGCTTTGTTAATTTTAACCCCATCCTGCCACACAGACAAACTCTTTTTGAAGAAAGAGGACTTCTCTCCAACAAGATCAATATCAGATCTCCAAGAAAAAAAAAAGAGACTTAGAATAGAGATTTTTTCTTTTCTCTATTCTAGCCAGCACTGTTTGCTCCGCTACTTTGTAACTTGTTACGGAAGGACTTTCACTTTCGGCTACTTCTCAAGCCTCAGCGGTCACCATTTTAAGCTTTTTTTTCCTTCACTTAGAAACGCTTATAAAATCATTAAAAATACTTGCAATTTAGGGTCCCAAGTCCAGATCTCATCCTCTTTAATTAAGCTATCTGTTGTTTTCATTGAAAGGTTTGATCTCGTCGCCTGGCTCTGCAAGAGGCAGAGGTCTCCCGAAGCCCGGAGCAGTGGCGAAGGAAATAGGGAGCCTCATCCTGCTTCGTCCCCAAGAGTAAAAGAAAAACTCTGGGGACTTCGCAGAGGGCTCTACCTGCCCTCGCCTGCTCTATCTCACATTTCCTTATGGAAATGGAGTTTTTCGAGCCGCCTTTCAGATGTAAAGGCGGCTCTTTACGAGCGACGGGGCTAAATAATACACTATTGATGTTGTATTTCCAATTGCTTAGCTAAATGTTCTATGTTAAAACTGATAACAAAATACATATAGCAATATGTCTCAATATTAGATTATTTATAAGGGCAAAGGTTGGCATGGAAAAACTGAAGAAGAAAAGCAATATTTGTATTTGTCTATTAAATATTACTGTAAATGGTCCTTTCCCATAAAGTATACAGAATTAAATCTTCACATGGTAACTGCTGCAAGTATTCCCTTGTTGCCTATTAGAAAGTAAGCACAGTTCTTTCTGCAGAAGAATGAATAATTTAAATTTTTTTAAAGTAATTCTATGGATGCCTGTAAATTCCTTGTTTATCTACTTTGTGTTTCTCTACTCCCTTCTTTATTTTTTCTCTTTTTTCTTTGTCTAGGCTTTTCTTTACTTTTCCTGATCTTAAATGTGCATCATTAAAAAATAATACAGATGAATGCATATTATTAAAATTAATTTTAACAAAAATTTAAAAGACAGTATTTACTTCACAGGAAAAATCCTTGGAGCTGGAGCTTTTGGGAAGGTGATTGAAGCCACCGCTTTTGGGCTGGGAAAGGAGGATTCTGTCTTGAAGGTGGCAGTGAAAATGCTGAAATGTAAGTACCAGATCAGTCCAGCTCCTATGAACCAGAAAGGCTTTATTTTTTCTCTTTAGCCCTACTCATTTCATTTTTTTCATATTTACAAAGATATTTTTTAAATCTCTATTCTGTTTGGCGCTACCCAGTTCAGTTCTTTATTTATATTTACTAATATTTTTTCTTTTTTCTACCTGTTTTCTCTTCAGCCCTACTTATTGCATTTGTAATGTATACTTACTAAGAGTTTTCATATGTTAAAACAGGGGTCTCTAGCCCCCAGTCCATGGACTGGCACTGGTCCTCGCCATGCCATAAGCCAGCATCCCGGAGATGGGGCCTCATAAACAAGCAAAGCCCCATCTCCGGGATGCAGGCAGCACATGAAACCATGTCCCCTCTGGTCTGTGGAAAAACCTCTCTCCACGGAACCAATCCCTGGTGCCCAAAAGGTTGTGGGCCGCTGTGTTAAAAGACAAATCAAAAGAAGAAAAAGAAAAGTGCATGAAAAAAAGTGCACTAAAATTTTCTTTCTCTTTTTTCATGTAGTTTTCTTTTTAATTTTTTAATTTTGATTTGTCTTATAACATATAAGATAAGATACAGATAACTAAAGTTTCCTTTTTCCTAAAAAATGTATAAGTCACTTTGACCTCCTTTTCAACAGATGATTACACACTTATTGCCTTAAATATTTTACAACCCCACCCCCCTTTCTGGTCCACACCTTTCTTAATCTTCAAAACCATAAATCATCAATTAATTTTTCCTCTTTCAGCAAATGTTTAAGGTTTTCAGTCTTTCAAAAAAAATGTTTTTGTTGTTTGAGTGAGCAGATCAGTCTTGCCATTTCTGCAAGTTCTGACATTTTCACAATCCATTCCACCACCGTGGGAATCTCATTTTATTTTATGTTTGATCCACCCACTTCAGTGACTCAGCCACAGAAGAGTATTTGGGAAGTATGCTTCCCTGATGTAATGTATGTGGATGCCCACAGTCACTCTTTCCCAACCATTACTGTTGCAGAAGTGGGCTTCTACATTGACCAAGGTTTGAACTATCTCCATTCAATTATTCTAAATGGTTCAAACCTTTCCATCATCTGGTGTTTTCATTTCAGGTGTCATGTCTACTTCCTATATTCTGCTCCCATATTTGACTTCAAATTAATTGTTCTCATGTTGGATTTCAGCAACTGCACATACAGATGAGCAAGAAGCTCTTATGTCTGAGCTGAAAATCATGAGCCATTTGGGTCATCATGAAAATATTGTCAATCTTCTAGGAGCATGTACCCATGGAGGTAATTATTCTTCTCATCATTTCCTTTCTGGTTCACAGAAATACTGTTTCCTTTCTTTTCTATCAATGGTTGAATCATAGATTTCAAAGTGAAGATGACAGTCACTGCTTGAATAAATATTTGTTTGAAAATATCAGATACCCATCAAACTATAAATGCCACCAATGGTTTAATTCCGGAATTTAAAACATATAGTATAGTATACCAGAAATTGAGCTCAGCTTGAGATATTCTTTATTTTTATATCCTCTTTCAGAGCTGTCTGAGTTGAATAAAACAGATTAAAAAATAATTCCACCTTCACATCTTGAAGTTGCTAAGGTTGAGAAATATGGCCTAGTAGTGGATCCTAGATAAAGGGTAGAAACAGATGACCCATAGGTCATTCTAATTTATGATTCTTTCAATACTGCACTTCGCTGATCAATGCTGCTGTTGGAAGAAATGTCCATCTGGGTTCAGTTCCAAGTGGAGAAAAAGATACTGGAAACATGGAGACTGCTTGGAAAGATGGTTTAATGGTGGACAGGATCACATGGCTTGAGTTCCTGAACAGAAAAGGGGAAAGATGCTGAGAGCCCCTGAGTTTTATACCCTCTCTGGCTTTGAACTTCCTGGCACACAGGAAGAGTATCCTGATTGGTTGCTGTCAGACGTCATAGCTAGCCTTGCTGGCTGATGTAATCTTCCCAGCTGCCATGTGGGGAGTTTCTGTTGCTAGATGGGTCCTTTGTGTTGCAGATGGGATGCTGAGGCCTTAATGTCCCATTGACAAAGGTGGGGGGAATGAGTTTCTGCCTCCCTTTTAGGGGGAAATATTCTGCCTTTTTAGTATACCCTAAAATATTTTATTTTTCTAGAAGAGGGGTGGGATTTAACTTCCAACACTGCTATGTAGCAGAAAAACAATTGTACGTTCAGGTGATGTTTCTTTTCTGTTTTCTAGGGCCTGTCCTTGTAATTACTGAGTATTGTCCCTTTGGGGACTTGCTGAATTTCCTGAGAGAAAAAGCTGAGCATCTCATAATCGAGGGTTTAACCTTGGAATGCACTCTTGATAGCATGATGGCTGATTACAAAAATATCTACCTTGGAAAAAAGTATGTCCAAAGAAGGTAATAAGTTAGTCATCAGTGATATGAGATGTAAAACTGTGTTAATAGTTTGTTAATACACTGGCATCGAAAGACAGCATATTTATTAAGTGTGCAAAAAGTTGCCCAGAATGACTTTGGAGAGTGAGATGGATGGCATATATATTTAATTAATTGAAATAGTAAGCAATTATTCTATTGCAATCTCCAGTAGAGACTCCAATTTCTATTTTAAGACAGATGGGTAATCTGAAGTTCTAGGCCCACATGTCAAACCCAAATCTCCTTTTTTTTAGATGCTGGAGATCATTCCAACCATAATTGACAAGAATCTCTTACTCAGTTCCCCAACATTTTAAGCCATGAAACCCACAGAAATTTTAACCTAAACCTGACTATGTACAATTCTGAAATATTCCTTTACTTACTCCAGGGAAAAGAGAGAAACTCTTGTTTGTCCCTGTGTGTAAACCAGGTCTATTCAGTTCCTCAGTAGACCTTCTATAATTAAATCAAAGCTTATTAACTATTTGGCGGGACAGATCTGCTCTTAAGACTGATAGAAACTATTAATGTTTTTTTTTTCTCTTTTGATCTCTTTCATTCAGTGATAGTGGACTTGGATGCCAAAGTGTTGACAGTTATTTGGAAATGAAATCAATCATAGCATCAGTGCCTATGCCATCACAAGGTAATGCTCAAAGATCACTGCCAAGAGAAATGGAAAGACACAGCAAAAAAAAATCTGTTCTAGAAATTTAGCAACATTACTAATATTTTGGCTAAAATTCTGTTTGCTTATTACTATGCATTTCTTTCTTTGGATAACTCAGTGCAACCTGGCCTTCTTATCTTCATAACGGTTATGTAAGGTAGGCCTAGCTGGCTGAGAGTTGATTCTGTGCCAGGGTGTAATCAGCCAACAAGAAGTTCCAATGTGAACAACACCACTTCCAATCATACCAATGTCTTCTCATTACTGCTGCCGATGATCCCACTGTCTCCCAGTTTTTCCAGTAACTTCCTATTGATGCCACCAATCTTTCCTCCTGCCTATCCTCTGATCTTTCCAGGGTCTTCTGGCTACTTCTGACACACTTCCTGTTTGTCTCCTCATCTTCAGTTCTAAAAGTTTTATGTACTATTTTATTCAGCATGGAACAACAAACGATTAGATATAATTCAGAAAAAAATGTGAATCTACTAGTTCAGTGGTCGGCAAACCACGGCTCGCGAGCCACATGCGGCTCTTTGACCCCTTGAGTGTGGCTCTTCCACAAAATACCGAAAAGTCCACAAAGTGCCGAAAAGTCCTTCAGCCGGTGAGAAGAAAGCTGCGCATGCGCAAAGATGGTGGCAGTGGCCGGAGGTCTTTTTGGCACTGTGCGCCAGTGGCTGGGTAGCAAGATCAAAAGGCGCAGAGCAGCCTTTAATTAGGTAAAAGAAAACAAACCACTGAGGGAAGGAGCCCACTGAAGCTGCTGGCGTTGCAACCGCTCCCCCTCCCCGCAGCTTGGAGCTCCAAGCGGAAGAAGTCCTCGGCTGTTGCAAAGAAGCGGCAGCTCTGGGTGAGCCATGCCCGCTTCTTTCTCTTTGAGAGCTGCTTTGCAAACAAGGTGCAAAGCAGCTCTCAAAGAGAACAAAGTGGGCGTGGTGCACCCAGAGCTGCTGCTTCTTTGCAACAGCCGAGGACAGAAGAGTTCGCTCAGGAGTGACGCCAGCAAGGAAGGCGGCTGGGTCGGAGGAAGGCGTAGCCCGAGCTCTCTGGGATGGGTAAACAAGTGTGGGGAGGTGAACGGGAGCGGACTTGGCCCTCCACGTGTTACATCCCTTTCCCCCTACTTTTTAATTGTAGTTGAAAAGAACTAATTAAGTTAATAACAATGTACCTACCTATATAGTTTAAGTTTAAAAAATTTGGCTCTCAAAAGAAATTTCAATCATTGTACTGTTGATATTTGGCTCTGTTGACTAATGAGTTTGCTGACCACTGTACTAGTTTAAACAGGTTGATATCATACCTATCTCAGTGACCAGACACCCTCATTTTTGGAATTGGGGGACAAAACTTCCTAGTTTAAATCTTAACCATGTCATGACTTATTAGCTGTAGTCAAAAAAAAATATTCTGATTTCCAAATAGCTATTTGTAAAACATATGGATATGTCATGGGCTTATCAAGAGCTAAAATTCCATATAGTATTTAAATAAATATATTTAAATATATAAATCTATATATATATTTATAAAATTTGGCAATAAGTGATTAAGTTAAATATTAATTTTATTACAAATTTAGTATTATTATTTCTCTTAATATCATATTCTGCACAAGATATGATAAATTAGGGCTCTACTCTGATTTGACCAGAATAATAGAGTTGGAAGGGACCTTGGAAGTTTTCTAGTCTAACCCCCTGCTCAAACAGGAAACCCTATACTATTTCAGATAAGTCCAAATTCAGCTGCATCATTTGAGACAGGATGGACTTCTCTTAATTCAAATCCTATCCCTAATTCAAATTCTTCTGCAGAACTTGGTCTTAGGTGAGTCAAGTGGGAACTCTGTAAACTAAAAACAGCATCCATGTCTTTTTTTTTTTTTTTAAAGTATGCTATGGGGATGGCAGGGGTTTGCCTTTGGAGGAAGGCAAACTCCATGCAAGGGTGATAATTATGTCCCCAGCTACCCACTTTTGGATTAGTATCAAGATTGTGGGAGTTGGACCACCAGAAATGTGTTTATTTGCTGTTCTGGCACTCACCACTTCATTGTATCTGTCAGTGTCACCAGACACTGTATCTGAATTAGGGGTGGGTTTCAGAATTTTTTACTACTGGTTCTGTGGGTGTGGCTTGGTGGGCGTGGCATGGCTTGGTGGGCATGGCTTGGTTGGTGTGGCAGGGGAAGGATCCTGTAAAATCTCCATTCCCACTCCACTCCAGGGGAAGAATCCTATAAAATCTCCATTCCCTCCCCAATCCAGGGGAAGGTTACTGCAAAATCACCATTTCCTCCCGATCAGCTGGGACTCGGGAGGCAGAGAATAGATGGGGGCAGGGCCAGTCAGAATTTTTATTACCAATTCTCCAAACTACTCAAAATTTCTGCTACCGGTTCTCCAGAACTGGTCAGAACCTGCTGAAACCCACCTCTGATCTGAATAGTTCAGTTTCTGTGTGATGGTGTCTCTCTTGCAAGGAATCTTTTTAAAGAAGATCCTTCAGTTTGTCTATCCAACTTTCCATTCCTTTTTTTTAATCTTCCTGTTTCTTCCCTTACTTTCACACTATATTATTTTCCAACCTTTTTGTTGTTGTTGTTGTTTAATCATGTATCAATTGAACTAAGTTTTATTTACTCATTCTCCCTCATTGATCCTTCCTGCAAATATTTTATAAAGTAGCATCTATCTAAACCAGGGGTGTCAAACTCAAGGCCCGGGGGCCAGATTTGGCCCACGGGGTACTTAGATCTGGCCCACGGAGCTGCCCTGGAAACAGGGAAGGACCGGCCTGCGGTGCTTCTGCCAGCAAAAATGGGCTCCCGGGCTACCCTATTTGGCTGCCACAGCCTCCTGCAACCCTCTGCCAGTGAAAATGGAGCTTGGGAGGGCTGCACCCAAGCTCCAATTTTCACTGGCAGAGGATTGCAGGAGGCCGTAGCTGCCGAAAACGGAGCCTGGGAGCCTGTTTTCACTGGCCGAGTGCTCAGGCCACCACAGGCGCCCCCGACCGGCGACATGGCCACACCGATTCTGGCCATGCCAACTCCACCCTGAGGTGAAACACAACCCTGATGTGGTCCTCAATGAAATTCAGTTTGACACCCCTGATCTAAATTGTAAATACCATAGGTCTGTGCATTTAGATTCTCCTTCCCCCTCCTTTTTTTCCCTTTTGCCTTATAAGCAATGTTCCCTCACAGCAGAAGATTTTTATAGAACCACTCCTACTGGTGGCTCATTCATTGTGGTCTTTGGCCAAGGACCCTTATTAGTGGAATGGCAAGCAGTGGATAAATATGTGCCATCTGGAGAACACTAAAGCATTACATTTGTCTTCCAAACCATGCCAGTTTAGCTGTTCTCTGTTTGGAACACTAAAAACAGGCTCCTATTCTGAATGATTTACTTCTGGAAAGTTTTCAGGCCAGCCAACTCAGTGTGATCCAGGAAAAAGGAAACATTTCATCTCTGGAGTGACTGGAATGTTTAATTCACAGCTACTACCTATAATTGCAATCCTTAAATATTCCCAGTAATGCAGACTACTTATAACAATAATACAGCAGGTTTAGAAGTTAAAGGTATATTGCCATAGATAAAGCTTGCTCTTTGTTGTAATGTTCTTTGTACAGCTATAGTTAAATTCCTCAATTACAGACATGACACAGATTTCAATGTGTGCAGGGTCTATATCAAATCATTGCCCTCACACCCCTATCAGAAAAGCCAGATCTGGACATGATCCTTCTATATGCTGGGGAAGGGAGTGTGGGGTATTTTATTACTTCCCTTTTATTTTTATTTTGTAATATTTATAGACTACACCCAGGGTGAAATCCAGCAAGTTCTGACAGGTTCTGGAGAACCGCTACGGAAATTTTGAGCAGTTCAGAGAACTGGCAAATACCACCTCTAGTGATCCCAGAGTGGGGTGGGAATGGAGATTTTGTAGTATCCTTCCCCTGCCATGCCCACCAAGCCATGCCCACCAAGCCACACCACACCCACCAAGCCAGGCCCACAGAACCAGTAGTAAAAAAAATTAGATTTCACCACTGGATTACACCATTCAATCAGTCTTTGCTTTGTTCCTCAAGTTTCTTATAGGATCAGCTTGTTTCATGTTGTATTAACTTTAATGAGAGGTTTTCTTAAAGAGGCTACAACTTTTTTTTTTCAAACTTATGCAGAATACAATTTTAAAAATGACAAGTTGCTTTAATGAAAGCCGGTCACACAAAATTGAAAGCACCTTTTTCAAATTATTTTTAAATCAGGCATAACCTTACCATTTTCAGCTGGAAGTCATTTTGCATGCAAATAATTGTCCATGAATTGTATCTTTACCCCTTGCATCTTTGTCATTTATATTCTTTAATCATCATACATTAAGGTGAATTTCACAATTAAAGCTGCTTGGGTGTATATATTTTCTGGTCACAAATCCTTTCCAAATATAAAGCAGCTCCAATAAAGGAGAATATTTGTAGGTCAGAGTTGAAATGAGGGGTCTTTGGTGCTCTCTCTGAGGTTGGCTGTTTTCTTACAGATATTTCATTACCCAAACTAGATAGCATGACCTCTCATAAAGCAGTTCTTTATATGTAAAGTCCATAGATAAGCAAAACCAATATGTAGATAGAGCAATTATAGATGAACAAAGAGCCATTAAATCTTCTTCTGCTCCGCAATTTCCAGTTCATTCTCGGAAATGGCTACCAAAAATTCATTCCATTAGTTTCTTGGGAGTTACTTATATTTAGTCTCTAGGTAGGGAGGCCTTTGTTATCATGGGTGATTTCAGATTCAGAGAGTTCACTTCACTTGAGGATTATGCTTTTTGACCCTTCTTATCTTACTGCTAAATGCCCTTCAAGGCCCTCTTTGTGGCTATTACCTATCCTTTGTGGCGGTCACCTATCCTTTCAAATGCATACCTTCAGTGACCTCTGTGAACTTTCTCCTAATCCAGGAACAAATTTGGTATCAACTGAAGGAAAAGAAGACCTACGTTCTCTTGATCTCTTTGACTTGCTGCAGTTCTCCAACCAAGTGGCCCAGGGAATGACTTTTCTGGCTTCAAAAAATGTGAGGACGTTTCTCCTGACAATGTACATCATCATCACCATCCTAAAAGGAATTCAGCCCCAAGCTTGATTTCCTGTATTATCTTCCTACCAGGAAGGAATTTTGTTGTTGTTACACAGAATAATATACAGGTAGTCCTCAACTCACAACAGTTTATTTAGTGACCGTTCAAAGTTACAGCGGCACTGAAAAAAGTGACTCATTACCATTTTTCACACTTATGACTATTGCAGCATCCCCATGGTCACGTGACTTACACTCAGATGCTTGACAATTGATTCATATTTATGACGGTTGCAGTGTCCCAGCATCAGTTGATCATCTTTTGCGACCTTCTGACAAGCCAAGTCAATGGGTGGTGGCGCGACAGCTTCCCCAGTACCTGGATGAAGCTGTCTATTTGGTTCCACTCCAGTCCGGCTTCAGACCTGGGTACAGCACGGAAACGGCATTGGTCGCGTTGGTGGATGATCTTTGGAGGGCCCGGGATAGGGGTTATTCCTCTATCCTGGTCCTATTAGACCTCTCAGAGACTTTTGATACCATCGACCATGGTATCATGTTGCGCCGGCTGGAGGGACTGGGAGTGGGGGGCACCGTTTTGCAGTGGTTCTCCTCCTATCTCTCTGACCGGTCGCAATCCGTGTTGACAGGGGAGCAGCGGTCGACCCCAAGGCGCCTTGTTTGTGGGGTGCCACAAGGGTCGGTCCTCTCACCCCTCCTGTTCAACATTTATGTGAAGCCGCTGGGTGAGATCATCCGTGGTTTTGGGGTGGAGTTCCATCAGTATGCTGATGATACTCAGCTGTACATTTCCACCCCAGACCATCCCAACGATGTCTTGGAAGTGATGTCCCAGTGCCTGGAGGCCGTGCGGGTCTGGATGGGGAGAAACAGGCTTCGACTCAACCCTTCCAAGACCGAGTGGCTGTGGCTGCCGGCATCCCGGTATAGCCAGCTGACGCCATCGCTGGTTATTGGGGGCGAATCATTGGCCGCCATGGAAAGGGCCCGCAACTTGGGTGTTCTCCTGGACGCACGGCTGTCTTTAGAAGGGCATATGACGGCCGTGGCCAGGGGGGCTTTTTATCAGGTTCGCCTGATTCGCCAGTTGCATCCCTTTCTGGATCGAGACTCCTTACACATGGTCACTCAGGCACTCGTCACTTCTCGCCTGGACTACTGTAATGCTCTCTACATGGGGCTCTCCTTGAGGAGCACCCGGAGGCTCCAACTGGTGCAGAATGTGACCACGCGGGGGATTATGGGAGCAATGGGACGCTCCCATGTGACACCTCTCCTGCGTGAGCTGCATTGGCTCCCGGTGGTCTTCTGGGTGCGTTTCAAGGTGTTGGTTACCACCTTTAAAGCGCTCCATGGCTTAGGGCCTGGGTACTTACGGGACCACCTTCTGCCACCGATAGCCTCTCACCGGCCAGTATGCTCCCACAGAGAGGGACTCCTCAGGGTGCCGTCGGCCAGGCAATGTCGGCTGGCAACCCCCAGGGGGAGGGCCTTCTTTGTGGCAGCACCTGTCCTTTGGAACAACCTCCCCCGGAGATACGTTGGATCCCAGATCTCTGTGCTTTTCGTCGGGCCCTAAAAACTTATTTTTTTCAGTTAGCCGGTCTGTCTTGATTTTATGGTTGGTTTTAAAATTTGATACGGATTTTAAATTGATAAGTTTTAAATTACGGGCGAAATTTCTTTAATTATTTTAAATCTATTTTTTAACTGTAACTTTATGTATAAATGGTTTTATTTTGGCTGTTCACCGCCCTGAGTCCGAAAGGAGAAGGGCGGTATAGAAGTTTGAATAATTAATAAATAAATAAATAAATAGGGAAGCCAGATTCACTTAACAACCATGTTACTAATTTAACAACTGCAGCAATTCACTTAACAAATGTGGCAAGAAAAATAATAAAATGGAGCAAAACTGACTAAGCAATATAAATTCTGGGCTCAGTTGTGGTTGTAAGTTGAGGACTACCCTATACAACCCTATCAGTTCATAGTGCTGTGATTCCTGAGATGATCCTTGTATAATTTAAGAATTTGTTCTTAGAGAGTATACTGCTCGGAAGTATTCTTTTGGATTATGTCTTTAATCGCACACAACTCTATGTGGCTTTTGAGAACAATAACTTTCTCTGTGTGAAAATGAATATATAGTCCTGTTAAAGATAATATGAACACTGTGTTCTCTCTTTTCTAACCAGCATAAAAAGAAGAAACATTGACTGGTTGATTGATTGATTGATTGATTGATTGATTGATTGATTGATTGATTGATTTAAAAAATGTTGGTTGACCATTTAACATACAAACTTTGGGCATCCATTTGAATATATATTTGTTTAGCTGCTGTAGGAAGCAAGGAGTAAGTAGTCTGACATAAACATTAGCTTTAGCAACCTCCATCCTTTCCAATGGTAACAACTGAAAGTGACAGTTGATGATTTTTGACCCTGTCTTATAAATCACGTTGACAAGAGCACTCTCTTTGGTTCTTTATTACAGCAGAAGTTGTCCATACAAATTATATTCAACAGAAAATCCAGTGGCTGAGACACAGATTCTATAAAATAATAGGCCTTACCCTCTCTTCCTATACAGACTTTGTACAAGTGTTATGTGGTTGGGGGTACTGCCTATGTGGTATCCTAATAGCTCTGTCAACTTTTAAATAATGGATGCACTGAGACAGGAAAAACTGCAAAGTAACATTTATAAGAAAGGAAAGAACAACCAAGTGTATTTTGTATTATTTTGATCTTTTAATGTCACCTTCATTTCAAGAGAAAAAGACAATGGAAGAGTTCACAAAAATAACTTTGCAGTAGTCAATTCAAATAGTTGAATTAGCCAAACGCATCTGCAGATGATTAAATCTTTTGTAGATATATTGGCACAATCAGTAAGTAGATTTTTTTTTTTGCACAAGGTGTCCTAAATGGCACCTTTTTCCATTACTATAGGTAATGGATTACTATAGCTTGGTATAGGCCATAATAAAGTTCCTCCCTTCCCCATTACTCTAGATTGTATTAATTCCAATGGCCTAGAGTCTAGACCATATAAAAACATTTGTAAATACCATGTTGAAGACTTTTGACTGCCCTTGCACTGGCGAAACTGGACTAAATCTGCCTTGCTGCTAATCAAATTATAGGATCAATAAATTGAAACAAAGAGCTTGTGAGTTCCCGTTCTGCCTTAGGCATGAAAGCTATCTGAGTGATCCTGGGCCAATCATTCTCTCTCTTTGCCCAGCCCACCTCATTGGGTGGTGGTTGTGGGGAAAATAGGAGGAGGAAGGAATGTTAGTTGAGTTATTTATAATTTTCAAAAGGTAAAAAATAAATAAATAAAATGAGAAGAAAATAAATTTGTCCCTTTCCTCCCCCCCCCCCCCTCATTCTTGAATCCAGTGCATCCATCGAGATTTGGCAGCACGGAACGTACTAGTGGCTGATGGACTAGTGGCCAAGATCTGTGACTTTGGGCTGGCCAGAGATATTGTGAATGACAGCAATTATGTTGTCAAAGGCAATGTAAGTAACTGCAATGAATCTATACATTTACATCCCATGAAGCTGAATCAAACTCTAGCTTTACTTGGCTCTGGAATGTCTCTATTGATTGATAGCAACTGTCTAAGCATCCCTCTGAGGTGCACCTGGACACAGGGATCATCTTCATGCAAAGAACATGTTCTTATGTTTAACCTCTAAAGAGTCCAGGTGGAGAATGCTAAGCATAAGAGCTTCCTCCTGAGTTTAGATCATATCATTCCAGGCTCGCCTCCCAGTGAAATGGATGGCACCAGAGAGCATCTTTGAATGTGTCTACACAGTACAGAGCGATGTGTGGTCGTATGGCATCCTTCTCTGGGAGATATTCTCCCTAGGTAAGTGAAGAACATTTCTATATTTGTTTGTTTGTTTATACCTGCCTGTTTGCTTGCCTTTTCTATGTGGAAAGGCTTTGTCAGAAATGCAGCTTTGGGATTCATGCCTGTGCATCCACATCATGATGCAAAAATATGAATAACAGAGTCGGAAGAGACTTTGGACGTCTTCTAGTCCAACCACCTGCACAAGCAGGAGACCCTATACCATTCTGGACAAATGACTGTCCAATTTCTTCTTAAAAACCTCCAGTGATGGAACATCCACAACTTCTGAAGGCAAGCCATTCCACTGGTTAATTGTTCTCACTGCCAAGAAAATTAGTTCTAGACTGGTTCTCTCCTTGATTAGCTTCCAAACCATTGCTTCTTGTCCTGCCTTCTGGTGCTTTGGAAAATAGGTTGGCCCTCTCTTCTTTGTGGCAGCTCCTCAAATATTGGAACACTGCTATCAAGCTACCCCTAGATCCTTCTTTTCATTAAATAGAAATACCCAGTTCTACTGTTTTTCATATGTTTTAGCCTTTAGCCCCCTAATCATCTTTGTTGCTTTTCTCTGCACTCTTTCCAGAGTCTCAACATTTTTATATTGTGGCGACCAAAAGTGGATGCAATATTCCAAATGTGGCCATACTAAGACTTTATAAAGTGGTACTTCATGTGATCTTAATTCTATCCCTCTGTTAATGCAGCCTAGGATTGAATTGGCTTTTTTGGCAAGACTTACATGTTTGCATTGTTTATAGGGATGCCAGTATATCAGAGCAGTTTTTGACTATATGTGTGCTATTATTTCAGTGTAATTTTGGCTTGCTGCAGACAAATAGCACTTCATTTGGGAGGAGTTGAGAAAAGTGTTTAGGAATGAAAGGCTTTTATAGCATTCCTTAAAAAATCTTAATACCTTAGATCAGGATGATATGTCCCATTTTTGGTGGGTTTTAATGGGCAAAGTTTCATCCCTTAAACCCTGCTCTAAAAATTAAATATTTTTACTCTTAGAAAAATCAGAAACATTCATCTCCAAACACCATGACCACTGCAAAGCCCAAACAGGTTGGGATGAACAAGTGTAGTCCCATGCCTGAAAAATGCTTGTCTATTGTCTTCGTAGCTCGGTTTCCTCCTATTTTGCTCTCTAACTGCCTGCAAAGAATGAGCAAGGTGAAACTAGTTCCTAAGAAATTTTAGCTAGTTCTATAGGGAGCATTCTAAAACTACAGGGTCCTTCCTCCATATGAGCATTAACCATTTCCTTGTGTTTATAGGAAGAAGTCCCTATCCTGGTGTGAAAGTGAATAATAAGTTTTATAACCTTGTGAAGGAAGGATATCATATGGGGAAGCCAGATTTTGCTCCAGATGATATGTAAGTAAAAGTACTGCAGCTCCAGGTATCCAAACCATTCACTTACTCATTCATTCGTTCGTTCATTTGTTCATTCGTTTGTTTGTTCATTCATTCATTCATTCATTCATAAAAAAGCTGAGGGAACCTTGATATCTTTCAAGATATTTCTCAGGATGCTCAGGATTTGCTCTGTCAATCTGCCCACCTGTTTACAGATTCTTCTGGTCACATGGAAATCATTTGTGTACAATTGAATTCCATTCATTTTGTCCACAACATGCGAATCTGAAAAATGATCTATTCAGGGCTGATTATATGGGATTCCCTCCTTTCCCTCAGTTCAGAAAGGTTGATGTTTATGCTGAGGAAAGTCTCCCAGCCATCTTGGTTAGTTGTCTTTGGCAGCACAATGGTACATCTACTCAGACATTCAGCTCATTGAATTTAATGGGCACACATGGGAAGTCTGGAATAGAAGCTTTATGATACCCATCAGTAATCTAATTGCTAATTTCCCATTCATTCATAATATTTTTCAAAGAAAACTCAGATGGGTCATGGAGCCTGAACCATGCCAAAGGAGGAATGAGATGGCACAATAGTGCCCAAGGAGATCAAAAATGCAAAATTATAGACCAGTAACTGTCCAATCAGCTGTCACATATTATCCTGCAATTTGCTTCTGAAAGTATCAAACTCAGATTTTTCTTCCTTTTCCACCTCCCATCTCCATACAGGTACAATATAATGACGGCATGCTGGAAATTGGAGCCCACTCAACGGCCAACTTTCAGTGAAATCTGCACCTTAATTCAGAAGCAGCTGGATGCCATTAAGGAACAGGTGAATGGTTTATTTTACAAAATTCAAAAACAAGAAGCTGGCTCAGCCAAGATTGTTTTCACATTTTTTTCATTTTGTGATAAAAGTTGTTGTAGAAAAACCTCCAAAACATCTTATGCTTTTCCTTTAAACCCTGTACTCCCCATATACACCCAAATAGTGTCATTTATATGCATGGCAAAATCAAAAGAGTAGAGTAGAGTAGAGTAGAGTAGAGTAGAGTAGAGTAGAGTAGAGTAGAACGGAACGGAACGGAACAGAACAGAACAGAACAGAACAGAACAGAATAGAATAGAATTCTTTGTTGGCCAAGTGTGATTGGACACACAAGGAATTTGTCTTAGGTGTATATGCTCTCAGTGTAAATAAGGAGAATAAAATACATTCATCAAGAATAAAAAGATACACTTTGTGATAGTCAAGGTTACTAATAAGCTATCAAATCGTACTAGGAAACAAATAAAAAACAATATAATTGAAAGATAGATGCAGCAGACTGATAGCATTGTGATTAACACTAGCTGTCTGCAATTACTGTAAGTTTGAATCTCACCAGGCTCAAGGTTGACTCAGCCTTCCATCCTTTCTAAGGTAGGTAAACTGAGGACCCAGTTTGTGGGGGAAAATAAGCTGACTTTGTATAAATATACAAAAGTATGAAGGCTATTGCTTAACGCAGTGTAAGCCGCCCTGAGTCTCCGGAGAAGGGCGGCATATAAATCAAATTAAAAAAAAAAACATGGTTATAGTAATAAGTGGGAAGAGATAGATACTAGTAAGGAAGAGAAGAATAATAGTAATACAGTCTTAGTAAATTATTTGACAGTGTTGTGGGAATTAGTTGTTAAACAGAATGATGGCATTAAAGAAAAAACTCTCCTTTTGTCTAGTTGTTTCGGTGCGCAATGCCCTATAGCGTCTTTTTGTGGGTAGAAGTTGTAAAATGATATAAATCACAGCTTGTGTACTCTATGTAGATAAATATATAAATAATGCAACATTGACCCCAAGGCCAGAGTAAATTAATTTAAATTAATTTAAATTGAATTTACCTTTTGCAAAATAACACATTTCAGACTCTGAAGCATGTTTGTATTTCTCTTTCTCTCCTCCTTCATATCATATGAAGGATTATAAAAACTTGTCCTGCCCCAGAGAAGAGGAAGACAGTGGATGTGAGCCTGCCAGCTACTTTGACGAATCCTGTGAGTCAGGAGAAGTGGAGCAACCCCTTCTTAACAGCAACAATTATCAGTTTTGCTAGGGTGTGTGTTCTGGGCCTTCTGGATGATGGAAGCCCAACTGAGCTTGGGCTTGGATTTCATGCAACCCCATCCCTTTTTGAGGCTTTTCGCATCAGAAAAACAAGACAGTCATTCGTAAGTCACAGACTGGGATCATGCCTTGCACTGACAGCAGATTCCTAAATTCTCCATTCTATCTGATTCTAATTACTGGCAGGAGGGCTTTATCACAGTTGACAGCTTAAGGTAGGCTATGTAGGACGTTGGAGAATCGGTGCATCAATTTTGCAGAATGGGAGAGATTGTTAAGCGCAATCGCAGAAAACAAGGCTTAACAAGGCAGATGGACTTCTTTTCTTTTCTCCACACACTTTCTTCTACAAGCTATCAAACCTATAAAGTATAATACGTGAGAGGGAAAAGAATTAGATTACCCACATTTTGAACCAGACGGGGGTTGCGCAGAGCAAGAACAGAGAACAGAAAGAATTAGAGGCATTCCCATTGTAACCTGCCGTTCTACAGTCATTTCTTGTAGCTTAGGTGGGCAGACTGAAATCCATAGCAGATAACCAAACCAAAAGGGGACATCGCTGGAAGACATCGCCTTTGGCAGTAGGAGGGATTGTTGAAGATAAGGAGGATTGTGGGAAGATTTCTCGAGACACACTGCATTCATCTCATCCTTGAAACAACCTCCAAACCTGGAAAAAGAACCAAAATTGTACCATTCTGTCACTGAGTTTTGGCATGGGTTGAAAGGATGGGCCAAATGTTGTCCACCTATCATAGAGAAGAAAACTGCTGGGTCTATAAGAAAATTAATCTAATTCTCCTACACTTTTTTTTTAAAAGCTTCAAGAAGTGGCAACTCTATTTTTCTCTCATTTGGGATTACCATTTCAGAACATGCAAATTACTTGGTATTAATTGTTTTGCTATCTGAATATTATTACTGAAAGAAGGGAGTATAAGCCACTCACTGTCGCTCTGTATTGAACTGGCATAAAACCCCCAATAAATTAATTACAGATAGTCTGCAACTTACAATCATGATTGAGCCCAGAATCTATGTTGCTAAGTGAGAAATTTGTTAAGTGAGCTTTGCCCCATTTTTCGACTTTTCTTGCCACATTTGCTAAGCGAATCACTGCAGTTGTTAAATTAGTAACGCAGTTGTTAAGTGAATCTGGTTTCCCCACTGACTTTGCTTTGCTTTGTCAGAAGGTCACAAAAGGGGATCGCATGATCCTGGAACACTGCAACCGTCATAACTATGAACCAGTTGTCAATCATCCAAATGTAAATCACGTGACCATGGGGATGCCGTAATGGTCATAAGTGTGAAAAATGATCATAAGTCACTTTTTTCAATGCTGTTGTAACTTTGAATGGTCACTAAATGAACTGTTGTAAGTCGAGGACTACCTGTACTATGATTTTCAGTAAAAAACAGTTTGTTAGCTAAGATTAGATTTAGATATAGGTTCACTTGTTATTAAAGAGTACTTTATAATATAATCTTACATATGTTTATTTCAAATCAAAGACTATTAAATGAAATCAAACTTATTTCCAGATGAACATAATAAGATTGTTGCCTTTACATTTACTGATTTTCAATGTTTATCTATTAGATGGGAATAAAGAATAAGTGTAAATTACTTTGGGTCACATCTTTTTGACCCTAGAAAATTTTTTTAAAATCTGTATTAATGTGGTTGGGAATGGGATGTAATTTCAGACATGGAAGATAGCTAGCCTACCGTAAATAGATGTAATTTCTCCTCCAGCAATGCAGATTTTGTTCCTGTCTGTTAAGAACATTTTGAACTGTGTTACAAAGTATTACAGACAAAATAAAAATCCCACCTGACTGCCATCTCCAACTTAATCTAGGCTGGATCTAGGCCTCCTCTCATCCATGAGATCAAGTTTCATTTCAGAAATGAATTGTGTGAAAAGAAATGGAGGAAGATAGAAGAAAGGTCATTACTCCGTTTTGGCTGTGGCTTTGTCCACAATTAATTTCTAGCCTGTACAAGAGTTAACTTTTCTCATGAGTTAGCAGTCCTTCTTGGTTAAAAAAAAAAAGAGTTGATTCCAGGTTAGAACTAGAATACCAAGAATTTGATGAAGTAGAATTGTTGTTGTTGATCTTTCTAATCTTTTTGGGATTACCCATACCTGGTATGCAAAAAAAAAAACAAAAAACCCACTAGCAATTACTCTATTAAATGAATCATGTGCAATGCCAAGAGTTTATATTGCTGAGCGTAAAGCGAGGACTTATTATTCAGTAGATGGTTTACTGTTCCTCACTATACTATTACCACCTCATTTTTCACTCCTCTTTTGCCTAGCCTAAACCTCATAATAGACACAACTACATCTGCAACAATAGGGGGCACTGAGGTTTAAAGGGTACATTTAGAAATGAGATTGAAAGTATTGTTGTAGCTCACATCATCTAAGGAGCCTTTAACACCAGAATAAAGTTCTGGGAAATTTTGAAATTAAGCTAGTATTGTACACGTGCAATAAACTTTAGAATAATTGGTAAAATGGAAACTTTACTTTTCCTCTAGTTTCCGTTTTATCAATTATTCTAGAGTTTAACGCATATGTTACAATACTAGCTTAATTTGACTACTAGCTTAGTCTGGAAAATACCATCCATCTCTTGATGGACAGCTTATCTGATGGGATGATGCCACTCAGTCCTCCCACCAAGTGTAAGGAGAATGTAATCATTCACATAATGCTGAATTAGAGTAATGTGAGTGCAGTAAAAGAGTAGTATCTGAAATTGTAGCTCAGTGAAACAATAGAACTGTACACTTTTTGAGTTAAGAGGATGCAGCTACATTCTATCTTCATATTAGATTATTGTAACATATTAGTCAGTAGGCAGCGTTTTAAGTCTTAATTAGAACCTCAGTTACACAACACAGCTTGTTATGAACTGGAAGTGGTCATAAGAATCGTCTTGCTACTTCAATTAGCTACCGAACTACCATTCCATTTCTGAATACCATTTAATGTGCTAATGTTTGTTTTCAAAGAGCTCAGCAGGATCAGAAGCTTACATGGCAAAATTCTAATATTATTTGAGTCAGGCTTTCTAGCATATTATATATAGTCTTTATTATTATGTAGGATTTTATCAATATCATTCCTTATTCTGTGATTAAACTGATCTTTTAGTTTCTTGTATTTATCTGCCCTTTGTATTACTGAGAAAAAGTATAGTTAAATAGTATTCTGTAAACTCAAGAGGGGAAGCAAACTACTGGCAACATAAGACTACTGACGTTAGGTATTTTTTCCAAGCTGTTTTTATAAATAAAGGATTTTAAAAATATCCTATTAGAGGACAAATGGGCAATCGGTGTGGGACATTTAACAAGTATTTGTTTTTGTAGCATGCATTACACACGGTATACCTGAAACACTGTGGCAATTGTACGTATTGTAGTTCATATGCACAAACTGCTAGGACAGATATTTTACTGTCTTTGAGCTGCACTTCTATTTGAGGAGGCTGTGCAAAGCATCACTCTTTAGAATTGTTAAAGCAGAACAATTGTTTACAAAGTTACAAAGACCATAAAGCAGAGCAATTGTTTACAAAGTCCATAAAATTGTTTACAATTTTTTTTGTAAATTGTTTATAAAGTCCATGCATTCTTTATCTATTTAAAAAAGGTTCTCCTACATTGCACTCTCTTTCAGTTAGCACAGTCCTGTTTATTTCCCACAGTAAAGGCTTTAAATTTGTAGTAGATCCGAACAGCTCCAAATAACTGGAACGTTTTACCCACTGTTTAATAATTGCTCTGTTTAATAATTTTTAGACAGGTTTTATGTAAAAGATTATTCACTTTGCTAAGCAGTCACCCCTGAAGCTCACAGAAATGAAATATTCATGATGCTTAGCCATAATTGTCTTATGTAAATTACAAAATCCATTGATAGAGTTACACGGGGATCATGCTTTTTTAACTGCACAAAACTCCAGCTAACAGAGATTACTCGTGCTCACCAGATCATTATTAAAAAAAAAATAACTGCTGTTTCAAGCATCTTAATGTAACAATTGCATAAATGTGAATTTATTTGTAATTCAACTATCTTGAAAAATAAATCAATTTGATCAAGTAACTTGCAGTCTTTTTTTTAAAAAAAAATCAATTTTTTTTCCCCGTGTAAACTTACGAAGCTGATTTTTACAAATTCCCAATAGTAAATACCAGATTACATTAATTGCAGCACTAGTTATGTTAATTAAGTTAATTATGTTAAGAAACAAAGTCCAGCAACTTAATTGTCTGATTCTACGAACTCTTGTATAATATAACTCTGCTTAATATGGCTACTAAGACCTGTGGGAGGAGGGAAAGAGAAAGTCTGTCATTTTTTAGTTTTGTGATGGAACTTTTATGATGTTTGGTGATATGAGAAAGTTTTGTATTGTTATTTGTTTACCTGTTGGCCACCCAGAGTTACTTTACATAACATGAGCAGCCATACGGATCCTTTAAATAAATAACCAAGCATATAGAAAGCATTATTCTAGCCTGAATGTTGAAGCACTGGTATAGCCCCCTCTGCTGTTTGAGCAGTGAGAAGGGAAATACCGGTAGTTCAGTACTACAAGAGTGGAATGATTAATAGGTGAAACTCAGAAAATGGTTTCTTTAGTTTAGAAACCATTGAAATTAATAATACTATTTCAGATAAACACAATAAAACAAAACCATAGATTAAAAGCACATTTAATTTTTTGAATGAGAGAAAAAATAGAAGCATAAGCAGTATGCATTGCCTGCGATACTAGATCTGCAAATCATTTGTGGAGTGTATTAACCTGTCATAATAAATGAGATTTGCAAAATCTAATTGAATATTAAAAATAGATACAAATCATCCATATTCTGGTTTTATCCTTCATAACATCTAAATGAGCTCAGATTATAAAGTTAAGAAAACAAAACGTGTTTATGCTGGCCGAATTACCCAAATGTTAAGTGTTATAATGAAAACAATTTAAATTCAGCACCAATGGATTCTATAGGGTTGTTTTCAAAGACAATAAAATATTAATACTGTTTCAATACATCTAAAATTAATATTTTCCATGCAAACATTTGATAAAGAAACACTTCCACCATATGGATTGGTAACTCTATTCTTTAGCAACCAGAATGAGGCGTCTTTCCCCACATCTTTCAAATTCCTGAAGCTACAAAATAAGGAAAACTCATTTGTCCAAATAGTTTTATTCTCCAACACAGGAAGAGATAATTTATTAAAGTTTACCACTGACTTAAAAACTGTATTTCATAAATTAGCATTTTAAACAGCAAGTCATAAATTTTGTTCAGAACTTTAATAAATTTCTTTTTTGTTGTTTTTTTTTACAGCACAGTACACACTAGAACTCTTCACAGAAGAGAGTTTTAAATCCACACCACAAATCTGAAGAAAACATAGTGGATAAATTTACCTCAGTCAAGAAATGTTTCCCCACATTTCAGTGGTAGCAGAAATCTTTTTTTTTACTTTGTAGATTTATGGATGGCTAAGAATGAACACAAATCAGTGAACAGTGTAGAGCTTACACATCATGGCTCAGCACATTACACAGGAAAAACAATATAATAATTGACTATGACAGTATGAACTCATACAAGTCAGATTTATAACACTGGAATAGTGGAGTATGTAGTGGTTTCCAAGTGGCCCTTAAAGGTAAATGTTATGTTGCATGCCTAACAATTTTAGCCATAGAAATAATTAGAAAAAACATCAGATTGTATTCATGGAACCCAACCATTATTCCACAAATACCTTTAGTAGCATCTGTGGTCAGAGGAATAAACAATCAATTAAGTCCATTAACTGGATTATAAAGTAAAGTGCCTGAATATCCCCGCCTGACCATTAGCCCATATCCTTTATCTAAAACATATAAACCCCTGAAGAACCTTTGAAATAACCATGCTAGTCAGGGCAATGATGCTTCTAGCATCTTATAACTTAATATGCAAGCCAGTTTAGCTTTCAACCATTAAATAATGTCTGGTTTTCTCAGATTGACGCAGAACAAGCTGAAGAAGCAGATAAATTCTCAAGCCTCCAATGCCAAGTCAAAGTTCAAGTCTTTTCAGAATAGAAACTTAAAGAGCTAGGTTCCAAATATTCTTCAATCTATGATGGCCACTTCAGAATATTGGAGCAGTCATACATGTTTTATGCTGGGTTTTTTTTTCATTTTGTGCATTTCCAGCAACATGCGCACTTTAAAAAAAGTGATATTCTGCGTATGTATTTTATTTCTCTTGTCAGCAATAGAAAATTCTTCTGTCTTCGAACAATTATCCTGGGTTGCTTCTAGGTTTACCCAGCCTTTTGTAAAGAGAAATTTGTTCTTCAATAGCAATCTGTCTATAGATCAGAAGCCCAATCAATAAGCCATGACTCTTAGCTTAACATAGTCCTGTGCTGGATTGGAACTTTCTATCACAAATTGCTTAGCTATTATATATGATTCAGGGATGATCATCTCACAATACATTAGACAACACCTTCTTCTTCTTGTATCTCATCTTCATCCATTTCTGTCTTGATCTGGGCAACACCGAGACGATATAGATTGTCCCGGATTACAACCTCACCAGGTTGGCAGCTTTGAACAATTTCGTGGATTTGCCTGTTCACAACCTCACGACTGGAGAGGAAATCTATCAAACGATTGTAAAGATAATAGTGGGTTGCACTGTCAAATGCTATAGGGTTTTGGCGGACATTATTGGTTTTGCTGTCGTTGATGGCTGTAATGATAGCACTGTAGGGCTCCAATTCCCGGCACAAAGAGAGGGAACGGTGTCGAGCCAGTGGATCACTTTGAGTCTTCTGCTCTGTCCCAGTGTGAACTACAAAGCGAGATGTTGATTTAGTGATTGGATGCTCAACAGAATGTTCATCAGTGGTTGTATCCACATTGTAGTGCCTGTCAAGGAGTTCTGGGCAGGACACATACTGATGGAGGGGAAAAAAGCAAGACAAAAGTGATGTATGTATTAGAAAACTGTATTTATAGTCTTCAAAGTTGGCTTAGCAATAAGAAAAATATGAACGTAATTCAAAATAATCCAACAGAGAGCACAATAGATTTGAACTCAAGTTCAAAACTGGTGGCTGAAAGCTGTTTGAATAACCTGTACATTCTCATACCATGCGTACTTCTATAAAATTCAACTGAGGAATTCAAAATTCCTAAGGAGGATATTTCAACCAAGCAGTCAAGAACAAATGATAATGACATAAATACACATCTTGAATATATGAATTAAATGATGTAATTTTTAAAACTTGGAATCATATTTATATAGCTTTTTTGCAAACATTGAAAAAGAAAGGGGCAGTGACCCCAAATTTTCAGACGGAAGAAGAAGGCACTGTAATGATCATCCCTAAAAATATTCCTTCATGCTTAGTGATTAAGGAAAACATATCAGCCTGTCTTTCTCATTCTTAACAATATATTAAATTTTGAGAATCAATACAGATCCATTCTTGGTGTCAGGAAAGGTGACATGTTTTTCACTCTTTGGCTGATTTAAAAAATGAACTTAAGAGGGAGACAATAGATAAAATCCTTGCTTATTCCAATACTGTGTTCTAAATAAATGGGACTAAGTACTGTCGAAGGAGCTATATAGATCATCTAATAGCATAACTTTTAGAGAATATCATTTAGAGAATTATTATCAAAGTTATCAACAGATTTAAATAAGCCATGATTTTGTGAAAGAAACAGAAAAACTATGCATGATAACTATTCCAGATATGTCAAAGTATCAGTAAGGAGCTTAATCTTCAAAGAAATACATGGCAACTAACCCTTAAAGGCTCCATAGGGTCAGAGAAGCAACCCTGGTTTCTTCCCCACATCTGAGCAGTCAAGTCAGGATAACAGATATCTGCACACAATGCTACAGAAGTGGCCACATCTACTACATAGACTGGTGGCCAGTGACGTGAGGAAGTTAGTAGATCCACATGGTCTCTGGGACTTTCCCCTCTGACAATATATTTTGAACCACACACAACCTGTAAAGAAAAAAAGATGAAGAAAGATTATAGAACTATAAAAGACACACACAACTGTAAAGAAAAAAAGATGAAGAACTACAAAAGAACCTGGGGACAAACCCTCACTCAAGTTTCCAAAGGTAAACCTGGTAATTTACACTTGTAATTCAAACTTTAGAATGCTCAATGTAATTTTCATCACATAGAAGCTTATTCCTTTACACTCTGTAAAAACTATACTAATACATCTTACAAATAATGTTTTTCTAGGCAAGCATCAAATTATAGCAAAATACTATTAATATCAAATAGGGATAGAAGAGAAGAAAAAAGGCACCTTATGGGATCCATTATTACTAGTAGTGGGTTTCAATTTCATTCGCTACCGGTTTGCTTGTGGGCGCGGGTGCACGTGATGCTTCTCGCATGTGCAGAAGTTTCTGCGCATGCGCAGAGACATCCGGGTGGGTGGGCAGAGCCTCCCCCCACTGCTGCTACTGGTTCACCCGATCCGGGGCAAACCGGTAGCAACCCACCACTGATTATTACACTAAAGTACTTGGCTAAAACAGAAAATATATAATTTATTAAAATACATTCATATTTTATATTTTTAAGCTTTTATATATTCAGGTAGAAGGATGTGATGGGAGCAAGGTTAGAATGGTAGCATGACAATACAATGAATGTCAGTTTTAAACTAGATTTAGTTAATTTTCTTTTTTCTTTTCCCTTCTCTCCAGACTTAGTTATTTTGCTTACTTGTAACACTGTTCACCCCTGGAACAACACAAAAGTATGTGTCCATGCCTGTTTCACCATCCTTAAAAGTACATTTTCTGCTATAGGAATTATCCATACCTTTTCTGGAATGATATATTAATAAGAGATGGGCACTAAGTAGAAAATGTGATTTGTTTCAAATTCAGATTAAAACAACTGCATTCAACATATTCATTAAAACAGATGAAATTGATTTTGTTTCATTTAACTCAAGTGGCTTCCAGAGTATTTGTTTCTCTCTCTTTTTTTTCTTTTTTAGCACAGAAAACACTGGGACCTTG